TCTTAACCAATCACCTCAAAACTATTTGAAAAACCAGTAAGTAACAATGAAGAATACGAAGGACCATGGAAAGGGACGAAAAAAGAGGAATCGATAACCTTTGCGTAATTGTGGAAACTCCGCCCCGCGAATTAGCCCCACCCACTGTCACATTCCCGCAACGGTTTTTCTCTTTTCGCGCACCACAACCAAAAACACCGGTTGGGGTCATGTACGACGAGCGGAGTCCTGCATAAGAAGCGGTAAATCTTACAATACCTCCTACAGGCTCCGCCCCCCAGTAACTCCGCCCAGTTGTCCTATTTCAAATTGACAGCTACTCAAAAAAAACCAAGAATGTGGACTACTGACACAAAGGTTATCGACTAAGACAACCAATTTGAATTATGAAAGAACAAATCAACAACCTTGCCTTGCTAAGAGACTGAATGGAATCGACTAATTCCGGAGGGCCTTCTAGTAGAGGCGTTTCTCAAACCTGAAATTTCACCAGTAACAGCGTTCATGGCGCAATCTCATCAAATGAGGAATAGTTACAGTAACCCCACAGTGTGTGTGTGCTCAGAAACAATCACATACACGTGTTCTTGCACACAATCTGATAATATACACATGCAGCGAAACTCCAGTACTATTCAAGGAGTTAAAAGTAGAAGGAAGACTTGAGTGGTATTCGTGACGGGACTGCCACTGCAGGCCTGGGATTGCACGAAGAGGAAAGAGACGCAGAGTAAAGGGAATAGAAGGTGAGAGTAAATAGGTCATACGTGGTGGGTGCGTTAATCGATCACCTAACGACGAATACCCTACCAATTGATGACCCCGATGACGGATGACGACCGCTTGACCAACTAGCCAGACTATATTGGTCTACGGTGTCAACGCTATAAATTGACAATGTCAGTCACCTAGGCAGGGATGCAGGAATTGGTAGATGGTGCAAGTCTGGTCGTCTGCGCTCTGACCCTAATGACCATCTGTTGAAGAAACTCTAGAGACTTAAGCCGTTTGGACACGGTGAGCACCCGAACTGAGCGTGCATTATGATGTTTCCGCTGTAGTCACGTACAATGCGCGACGCATTGACGCGCTTGAAGTGTGCTCGCCCTCCTTTTCGTTTTCTCTGCGCTCTCTCGGAGGAGAGAATGCGTCGAGCAAACTAACCAACTATACTAAGGCTCAGTTCATGATGGGGGTAGAAGGATGGCTGTCTCGCATATTTTGGGCGGCCCCGGGAATGACTCCATTGGCCTGCAACTTTAAGGGCGAAGGCGCGCGACGCTTGTTCCATTTCCAGGGTTGCTGCCCCGGACAGCGCGTACCTATTGATGCACATAGCCATGCGACAGCTACTCGAAGGTCTTCGACATCTGTCAACCGTGAGGCTAGGCAATTCAGCGTTTTGTTGTGCTGTCTGGGAGCTCTCACACAAGCGCACTATTACAGAATCTCCGCTTTCTTTACCTCCTTCTAAAAGGCTTAGTCCCACTACCACAAAGAACGTCTGCTTTTCCATTCTCACCCCTGGTTGACAGAAGCCTTGGTAAAGGGTCAACCCTACGTTGTTACTAGTAACAACGGGGGGGTCGTACCTGGTTGAGTTTATAGGAGGGGGTCGTATCCGCTTCAGTCGCGTGAAAGTACATGTGAGTTTGTGGTGAAAGTGGAGTTTTCACGAGTAGTAGGCTAGGTGAGTTGGGAGCGCATGGGAGAAAAATTCGCCGTTTCAGCGCGCGTATATACCCCTAGAAAATGAAGCAGTGGGATTATAGGTAGAAGTGGGGTTAATTGGTTGGACCAGGGTGAATATCGCTTGAGGATTCCTCAACGGCACGTCGAGGATTCTCTGCCCGATCAGACACGATCTCTCGCGCGGACATTCACACTCGCCATGGGCGTGCCGTCTGTGCTCTCCGCGCGGATGTTCACTCTCGGCACTACTCTCGCATGGTAGAGAGCTATGGTCGAGGAAATCCTCGACCGTTATTCACCCTGGTTGAGATGAGGACTTTTGGTAAATTTACTGTTTCAATGTGATATACAGGGGGGGCCAAAAAAAAAGAGTCACTCCTACTCACATTCAAAACAGAATTAATTACACTTTGCCAAAACCAAACCGAATGAGCTCAATTGCATATTGAAGAGCACATTCTATTCTATCAAAAACATTGCATAGTGGCCTTCTAAACCGACGACACCAGAAGATTTTCCCACGGAAACATGGTTCGCGGTACGAGCTCAACGGGGTCGTCGAGAAACCATAGATGATTACGACGTCTCTGAAACGCTGGTCAAAAGCCATTTTGCATAGTCAGAGCTAGTGTCTCTAAGAAGTCATTCACCAGTTATCCGATTGAATTATGTAGCAGCTTCAGAATGGAGCGATTATGGTAGGCCTCCTTGAGCTCGACGGTGATGACAGATGACGTCATATTCTGGAGACGGTGAAGGCAGCGAAGGTGGGCCTGATTCTGCTTATGGGGGGACATCTAAGGAATAATTCGCCGTATAACTCCCAATAACAGCGGCATCCTTTGCGACGAAAAGTTTGATGATATGCGCCATAGGCAAAGTGACTCTTTTTTTTTTTGCCCCCCCCCTGTATATATCCCCGCTCGACGGCATTTTGGAGGAAAAAGTGGGCGGAGTTTGGTGGGTTGAGTGGTACCAGAATTAAATACTATAGAGAGGAATATGGTGGTCGAGGTGTCGAAAAGGGGGTCGTACCAAGTCCACCTTGGGGGAGGGGGGTCGTAAAAATTTTTGAAAAAGTAACAACGATAGGACTGACCCTGCTTGTAACCCCAAAAGCGCTTCAATGCGTCGCTTTGTAGGTGAGTGCGGCAGGAACATTGTAATTTACGCTCAGTTCGGGTGCTCACTGTGTCCAAACGGCTTAAGCCAACTCTAGGTACTATATGTTGCAACGGTCTTACTCTCGTTCTGAATTGGCAGCAATAATCTTCGAAAATCCCTATTTCAGAAATACCACCGGCTATCCCTAGCTGGACCTCGAAGCCAACGAAAATTTGCAACTTAGAGTTCACATCGAACTTAACGGCAGGATCGCGACGGCTGGAGGGCGCACCGCTCTTGATGACATCATTGGAAAGGCGTTGAAGAGGCGGTCCTAACCACATCCCTAACTGAGAGGTCTAGACCCCCATTGACGTTCAATCGTCATCGAAACAGCACCACACTCCAGCCGTCGAGTCACTGTCCTCAAAACCCAGAATCAGCTTCAAGGTTTACCTGATATGAACATTCAGCACCTTTGGGTAGAACATCATGGCTACAAATGGAATGCGATAGAGATCGGATTGAATCAAAGTCAAAATCAAAAAATTAATGCAATCGATTAATTAAGCGGTCCTACAGGGAACAAAACCAAGGCTGGTCAATGCGTGCTTTATGAGTCAAAATGAAAAACTCACGAGTGAAGCGAAGTGCACACCACCTTCCAGTTGCGCGTTTGGAGAGCGTTTCTCAAATCGCACTTTGCCTGCTGCCACTTTCTCGCTGAAATAATGGTGCCTGACTTGAGGGACATTTTTGATAAAACAGAATTCGGGTCTACTCCAATAAAGGGGAGCGTTTGGAGCGAGCCACAGCAATTCTAACTTTTGCAAGGGGAGCCTCCACTTCAACATTCGCCTTGAAGCTTCCTCACCCTTCAAGAACTGAGGTTGCTAAAAGCGCTACGAGGTGATGCACTGAGTGTCCCCCTCCCACCCCTTATCGGGATAGACCGCGAAACTTTCAAAGCAGGCATAAGTGATAGCCAACTTTCGTAAACGACTACAATGAGACTTACTGTAGCTCTTCCAGTGACCGAACGCCGATATCCTGGAAGCCGTGCTGGACTCCACGTACAAGGTACGGGAGGAACTTATGGCAGGAACCACGATCCTTCATCGTCGCCGACACACCCTGCGCTACTTTGATCTGATCCGAGTCCTCTGAATCAAGCACAAATTAGTGTACTGTACTGCTGCTTGAGCTAGAACTTTCAGGTCTTACGCAGTGAAATAGCGATCTTGGCTGGAAGCATGTGCTTCCATCGCATCGAGCGAGCCCATTCCACGGTATTTCTTCACACGAACACCACCAGGACCCCAGAAGTATTCACCAGGCGCCTGGAACATGGCAACACGATGACGAAAACAGAGCGCTAAGAGCTTAGTGGTGTTAGCGAGTAAGAGCAGATATTTCATGCGATATGTGTGGGCACAAGTCCGGAGGCGTCGAATGGCATCGCACATGTGGTGGCGCGGTAACCCAATTTCACTAGCTCAAGTTCAAAAAAAAACAGTGATCGCAATGACAGGAATGCTGGTGCGGGTTGAGATCATTAAACTTCATTGGTGGACCAGACCTCTAAGCGCACTGGAGGTGGTTGGGGCCGTCTCATAACGTCTTTATCCAATGACTTTAATGACGTCATCAAAACCTCACCGCCCTCCAGTCATCGTGAGCACTGCCTTAACACGTTGACGACAACGCGCGTTTTGGGTTTTTGCACCGCGTGGGACCACGGCGATTTTGCAGGCGCCGCCGCCTCACATCAAATCCGTGAATTTTGAGCTTTAAATACCCAAAACTCGGATGCAACAAAATGTTTAGAATGATATTCGATGTGTCAAACTTATCAGAAGGGACAACTGTAAAAAATCGATCGAATTGACGTTTTCTGGCGATGAAAGGCAAGTTTCAGTTGCTTTTGCTGCAGTGAACCTCAAAATTATTTTTGACGCGGTTGCTCCACTAAAAACATATGTCTTGCTATATGTGTGGGTCTGTACTTACTTCTACTGCTCTTTTTTATGACCAAGATTATCAGAATATAAAGGAAACTAGGAATGAACACAATTGGGAAATTCGTAGGGCTTAGAAAACCTTCGCTAAAAAGGAGCATATTCAACCATTCAATGAACCTCGCCGTGTCTAGTCATATTATGGTGTAGTCTATAGAATAGATGCAAAAAATTAGAAAAGAAGTAGCGCATGCGCGAAAAAATAAATATTTTGTGTGTGCAGCGCATGCGCTGCACACGGTCCCACACGGTGCTCAAGGTGTGATGCGCATGCGCTGCACAATGTCGTCAACGTGTTAAAGGCTGCGTTCCATTTATTTTGGCCCACACACCATAGCTTCAGAGAGAGAGCGCATTGGCATCGAGCGCAGATTAACAACTTTTTGATACCGGAACTCCAAAGATTCGATTTCAAGGAAAGGCCGGCTTCAAGAATCACCACACATACCAATTGCATAGAAATTAGCGTTCTCGATAACCATCATAGCTCTCAGATGGCGCGGCCCGGAGACTCATTGCTGAAAGGAGTGAAGCGGCACTGAGCGCGACTGCGCCAAACTCCCATTCAATCATGTTGGGTGCTGTATGAAATGGGCTAGTTAGACATGCGGTCTTCTCCGCTGTTGCTAATGATGCTTTATTTTTTTCACAAAAATAGAGAAAATTTGTTGAAAGCGTGTTTGCAAAAAGATGGCTCTATATGTCTGTAACTATGTGACTGCGTGCCACAACAATGTGGACCTCTTGACCCACACCTATTCCAGACAGCTCATGACGTCTACGGAACTGCCACCTCAGTAGCTGCCAAAAGACCACCCATCATCACCGCACTAGCGCCGAGTGCTACTGCCTTGGTGATGTAGCCGACGTCACGGATTCCGCCATCTGCCAGCACCGGAATACCACGAGATTTGGCGTACGACGAAACCGCATACACGGCAGAACCCTGTGCTCTCCCAACTGCCATGACTGAAATAAGTAGGTTTCTCTAGAGAGCCAGCTGATGGATTATAGTGTGAAGAAAAAATTCCAAAATATAATTTCAACAATGACACATCGAAGTGAACGGGAGTACATTTGGACAATATGTCCCGTGATAGTCCATTCTTGCGTCTAGGGAAATTGATATCAGCACGTTCCAACCATTAGGTCTTCAATATTTACTCGTGAGCATTCTCGCCCTGGCACTTAGTATGGATTCCCAGCTAAACATACTATCATCTGCAAAAAAGCTCCTACAAATTTGAAGTTTTCGATCCAGAAAGCGGCAACAGGTTAAAATTTGCAGATTCCAAAAAAAAATGTGTTGAAATGTCAGGAATCCCACCATCCACTCTAAGAAATTGTTATCCCATGTCCCACAAAACGTTTCTAGTCTAGGAAGCAGATCAGCCTCCCCTGACTAACCTTGGTGTGGACACACCGAAAGCGGAAATGAACTTGAAATGGGATACCTCTATGCGACGCGCGAATACTCTGCATTTTCCACTAAGAGTGAAACTCCCCTCCTCCCCCCCCTCACCTCCCCAAACTGACTGCTCCTCGTCCAGTACTCTGTTACACATCACCACTGTCTTGGGTGAATGCAAATGATACCACTCCCATGCGACACCTCGAAGAGCATCACTCCACGCGATCAGCCAGTTTGGCTTGAGCTCAGTGATTTTACTGAAATAGAATTCGCATTCGAATCTGAAATACAAAATACGAAAAAGCACTTTGAAAACAAGTCCACAATAAACTTCTTGTAAAAGGAAGTGCAATATTGTCAAGGGGCGTAGATGCTCGAGAGTCGCATATTTCGCCACTGCACAGGGTGCATAAAGGTTGAGGAAATCCTCGACCATGGCGCTATACTATGTAAGAATAGTGGGCGAGAGTAAATGTTCATGCGTGAGAGAAGCGTGACTGCACAGACAGAAATCCACGGTGGTCGTCGACAAATCCTCGACCGATTTTTACCCTCCTACTGCAGCAGAACTCGTTTGACACAGTAATACATACCAGAAAATCATTGACACTCCACTCCCCCCCCCCCCCCCCAGAAAGTTTTGCCCTGGGTGGCCGTACACCTTTCTTACATCACCCAAACCCTACTCAGACCGTTATTCTGGAATGTGCCTCTGTAGGTATTACAAATTGATTCAAGTTTAGGCCTTAAAAACCATCATCGGATAGCATCATAAGGCGAGAAGTATGTTTATATCCTACCGTTTCCAGCCACAACGTCAATTGAAGGATATGTTTTCTTGATGTACTTGAGCATTTCAATTTGATAGGTTGACGAACCATTTGACGAGTCCTGTAATTATGACCTAATTAGCCGATACTCGCGATCATCTGCACTTCAAGCAAATTTCTACGCTTCTAGTTATATTTATTCGTGGAAAATAATACATTGGTAACCGGGACCTTCGATAAGTAGGATATTCACCTGACTAGTAATCATCACCTTGGTTTTCAAAAATCTTTCCACTAAATTTCGTCGCCAGTTGTGTGTTGTCACTAACATTGTGTTCACGCCAAATGTTGACAGTAAACATAAACAAACAATCAATCGACCTACAATCACGATAAGGTCTGCTCCCGCTTCCACCAGCATATCCAAGGTTTGCTTCGATGTTTCTCGGGTATTCACGGCCGCTCCGCAAAGTAACTGACCTTTTGAGTCGTACGATGCCATTGGATAATCTCTCGCCTGAACATATTTTAGTATTTAGTGATCTATAATACTTTGTGTAACAAAGCTAAGAAAACTGTTAAAATCTTAGCAATGAACTGTGTTCAGAAGGGGATTTTCATCTCTTCGTATTGAACTATCTATCCCTCATAAATCACTGAAATTTATTTTCTGAGTTTTCCTGTAGGGTTTGGGCACTCTTCGTTTCCACACTGATGAAGCGTTACCAAGGCAGCTTCACGCACAGTTTGTGGATTATTCGTATCGTTCTCACGTCGGCTACGCCAACCAAGCCTTCCATCCCTCCGGGGCCGGTTCATTGGTACCAGACTTGTCTGGGAGGATAAAAAACACTGACTTGCACATCGGCTGGCCCCGCAAGTCATTGTACAGGTTGGACCACGTTCATATTCATTAAGATATACTGGGAATTTCTCGGAATCCGGCCGTTTCAAATGGTTTCTTCTTCATCCCTGCTCCACTGCCCACCTCTGCCCTTATTTCCAATGAGCTAACTTTTCATCGTAAATTCTGCCTTTAATTCATAAAATAAACGTTGGCCCTTACAAGGGAGGTCTT